GCTCCGATGGCCCCTTCTGGCCTCTTTGAGCACCATGCATGCCAGTGGAGCGCAGACATACATGCAGGCAAAACATATAAATGAATAAAATAGAAATCAAGACTTGACTCAAGATTCTGGACCTTGGTGTCTGGGTGGGGGATGCACACAGTCTCTAAATATCTCCCTACTTCCTTCAGGCATTCACTGAGATATGTTGTCAGGGAGACTCCCGCTAATGTACCAGTTCTGCGTCCATCCTATCCCTACCTGCCATGCAGTCCCACCCTTCCCCCGCACTTCTGCCCTCCACATTAGTCACTGCCACCTTTATCCCGTGCCACTCTGCCAGGAGGCTGCTCCAGCGAGCCAGGGGTGTCTGTCGGTCTTGTTCACTGCTACATCTTACTTCTTACAATAGTTACTGCAACTCAGTAGGAATTCAAACTACATTTCAAGACTAAATGGATTCATAGTCACAGACATCTGGGCACTCACTCTGTACCAGAGACTGTTCTGGACACTGCCTAGCACCTGACTTAGCCCATTTAATCCTCATAGCCACCTGCGAGGCAGCAGTGGTCCTCAGGACTGCCACTGGTTTCAGGATCATCCTCCCAGACACCAAAACACAAGGATGCTCTTGACCTCCTACAAAATGATGCAGTCACTATGGGTAGCCTGGTACATCTTATTTTCCCATCATTTCTCGAGTATGCCTAATACAGTGTAAATGTCAGGGCAACAGTTGGCATCGTGTGCTCTTTAAAGAATAATAAGAGAAAAAGTCTGTGTACATCCTGAACATGCAGTTTTGTTTTTTTTTTTCCTCTCTCTCTCTCTCTCTGGTACCTTCAACATGGGTTGTCAGGATGCAAAACCTGCAGGCCAAATCTATAAACCATTTTGAGACAGGATTTCTCTGTGTAGACCAGGCTGGCCTTGCCTCTGCCTCAATCAGGTTTACAACCCATTTTTTCACTGTTTTTAAGATTTATTTTATTTTACATGTATGAATGTTTTGCCTGTGTGTATGTATTCACACCGTATACATGCCTGGTACCTGAGAAGATCAGCAGAGGGCACTGGATCCCCTGGAAGCTGGAGTCAGATAGATGTAAACCACCACGTGGGCAGTGGGAACTAAACCCTGGCCCTCTGCAAGAGTTGGGCGACCTCTCCACGTCCAATTTTATCTATCTCCCTATCTCTGTTTTTCCTAGATGAAAACACAAAGTCTCGGGCTGAAGAGGCGGTCCAGTGGCTTAGAGTACTAGATACTTTTCCAGAGGGCCCACAGCTGTCTGTCAGTCTAGCTACAGGGGATCCAGCACCTGCTTCTGGCCTATCAGGGCACTCATGTATACAGATATACATGCAGTCAAAACACTCCTACACACAAAGTAAAAATAAACAAACCTTAAAGACACATATAGTTATCGTGGGGTGACACCTGCCTGGCTCCCAAGCCTCGGCCATCACAAAAACAGAATGACTTCAAGTGGAGGAGCGACAGGGTCAGGCAGAAGGACGAGAGCAGCAGAGAGCTCTGGAAGACCCTGCACAGCTCTCTAGCCTGCACTGTCCAGTCCACTTTCCTTGATCTGGGAATACTCATGAGCAGCCCCGCAGAGCCATGCTGGCTTCTGCTGGATGCCGCACTGAAAATGACTGGGGGTGAAGAAGTCCAGGCTTGCTCTGTTTTGTTTTTTATTTTAAGGATCCTCCCCTACCCCACCCCCTTTCTGTCTCTGTAGCTTAGGCTGGACTAGAACTTGCAATCCTCTTGCATCAACTTCCTATATGCTAGAATTGCACCATCAAGCACATCTAGAGATCACTTTTTCCCTCTTTCTTGAATTTGTGTAGATCAGGCTGACCTCAAACTCACAGAGATCCACGTGCCTCTGCCTCCTGAGTGCTGGGCCTAAGGGAATATGCCGCTATACATTAGCTTTTTTAAAAACTACATTTGTTTGTTGTTTATGTGCATTAGCAAGCCACAATACACATGTGCAAGTCAGAGAAACAGCCCTTGGGAGTACTGCTACCTTCTGGGTCCCTGGATCATCATGCTTGCTAGCAAGTGCTTTTCTCTCCTTCTGAGTCATTCCACCTGCCCATTTGATTTTTCTATTAACTTAAACTGTAATAGCTACCAATGGCCACTGGCCCATCTGAGACAGTTTTAGCCCTTGATTCAGTCTGGTGACTGGGTTTGTGGCGCTCAGGCCTGCTGGGACAGATGAAAGGCTTGCAGAGGGAGGGAACATGTGTTTGCAGCCAGGAACTCTGAGGTTACTTTGCTTATGTAACACAGCAAGGGCCACACTTGTCTACAGTTTGATGAGGGTCAGATGAGGCAGAGAGCAGGCAGGCTGTTGATACCCTTGGGTCCCAGTCAGAGATGGTCCCTCTCTGCCTAGCTGCCTCCTGGGACAATGTGTCCCTGGAGAGTTGGTACCCAGTGCTCAAGTCAGAGAGAATGAACCATCTCTCTCCAGGATTTGCTCTTGGCCATATTCAGGATCCTTTTAGGGTGGAGTCTGAATGACGGATCTCACACAGTCCCCAAGGGCTTTAGGGGAATCCAGAATGTGAGCAGCAGTGAATAAACAGGGGGAGAAGCCAAAGTGGGGAGAGGTTTCTGGTAATGGAGCTGATGAGGGAGGAGAGCCTTTACTCAGCTCTTCAACCATGTAGGCAAATGTTCTCAACCCTGGCAGTGAATTACGAGCAACAGTTTGATTTTTAAAAATCTAGAACTTACTCTCTGATACTCTGATACAAGCTTAGTGAATGGTCAAGGACCAAGAATCGTCACTTTGGGTTGAGTACAGTGGTGCACTTTGATCCCAGCACTGAGGCAGATGCAGGTGGATATCTGAATTCGGGGCTAGCCTGGTCTACAGAGTGAGTGCCAAGACAGCCAGGGCTACACAGAGAAACCTTATTTCACAACACCGAAACAAAACAACAACAACAAAGTTTTAATTGTCATTTTTACAAAAGTTCATCCTTCCTAGTTAAAATCCAAGGCTAGACAAAATAGTATTCTCCAGAAAAACATTGGTAGGACTGCAGGTGGGTTTTATGGACAGAAAAGAGGTTGCCCCAAAGGGAATTCAGAAGTCGAGAGGTGGCTTAGATACTTAGGCATCTATGCTGCTGTGTGTTTTCCTGCCTTGCAGAAGGAAGGGGGAACTGAAGTCACCCATACTCAGACGGTCCTTAGCCAGCAGTACCTAGAATGTTGACCTAGCAGAAGTCTCAATCCCAGGTGGTCCAGGACCTTACCTAGGTAGCAGGACACTTAAGGGGTTCTGGGGGACCCTAGCAGGGAGACCGAATCCCACCGATGGGTTTTCCCTATGAGCCAGCTGCAGCTGGCCTCACTTCTCCAAAGCCAAACATCTCAGTCATCTGCTCCACACTTCCTGTTCGATGCTTGTTTCTTGATTGTCACTCTGGTCTGTACTGTGCAAGTGTGGGTGTGGGAGATGAGCTGGTACTTCTCTGCATTTTCCTTCTGAGATGGGAGCTTTCACTTCCTCCCCAGACTCCCAGTTCTGCCTCCTAAAGGCTGTTCAGGTCAGAAGATACCCCACCCTTGGGGGTCCTTTCCGAACCACAGGAAAACAGAGCTCGGTTGTCCCCAAAGTGCCTTGCGACTCCTCAGTAACAAAGGAAAATGGCAAGGGCGGGGGAACAGAAACTGAGGCAGGCAGAGGGGCCCACTCCTGCTCTCCCATCCGTGCCTTCTGCCCCAGAATTCCGCCACATGAGAGTGATGCTCAGCTTGCCCCAAATGCCCTCGGCTCTGCCTGCTGGCCTAGCTCAACAGTGAGAAGTATTAGGGAGCTAGGGAATGCTGAATCATGAAGGGCTGGGGATCCAACAACAGGCCTGGCAGCTTCCCGTCCCACCTTCTGCACCTCAGGCTCCTCTCAAAGCTTTATGTCAATCCAGTAGAGGATTAAAAATATGTGTAGAGCCGGGTGGGGGTGTAACATGCCTTTAAATCCCAGCACTCAGGAGATGGAGGCAGGGGAGACACAAGTTTGGGGCCAGTCTGGCCTAAAGAGAAAGAAAGAGAAAATATATGCCGTAGTGTCAAGCCGAGCATGTGGGGTTCTGCCTTTCAGAGAGAGAGAGAGAGAAGGAGAGAGAGAGAGAGAAAGAGAGAGAGAGAACTAACAATATGTCCTCCACAACCAACACAGCGGAAATCTCCCTAGTGACCCTTGACTCCACGTCCTCGCCTCGCAGAAGTCCTCAGCCCCTAAAGCCAGAGCCCACAGAAAGGCCTAGACCCTAGAGCCAGAGTGCAGCGAAGCCAAGCACAGTGGCACAGTGCCCCTGCCCTGTGCCTGGTCTACCCGCTTATCAGGAAGGGATGGGGCGGGGGCGCGGGGTGGGGGGTGGGAGCACAGCTCCAAAAGGTCCCACATCCCTTGCTGTCAGACTCACAGGATTGGGGTGGGGGTGGGTGTTGGCATTCTGCGTGCCAGGGCTAGTACTAAGGACTAAATATGTGAGGCGGGAGCACCCATGACTCAGAACCCATGATGTCAGACCCTTCACAATCAGGTCACTGTCAGTACACACGACAGGACAAGCAGTGGCACTGAGAGTCAAGCGGGGTGCCACAGCTAAAGAGGAAGGAGCTAGTGGCCCAAAGAACTCTCCAGAGGGACTACTACTCCGCTAGGGCGCGCCCTTTGGGTATCTCCCTTCGGAGTGACCCGAGATGCAACTGAGTAAGACACATGGGGACACTGGGAATCAGACACCAGAGTCAGGTTTCGGGAAACAGTCCTGTACACAGTCAGACTTTAGGCAACTGCCCAGACAGGAGCGGGCAGCCAAAGGTGCTAGACGCAGCAGGGGGCGCGCGAACCACCATCGCGTCCGCACAGGTGGGCCAGCCCCAGGCGGGCACCCCGTGTCCGCGTGGGCTCTCGCTGCCCACGGAACGAGCCCATGTCACATCCCCCTCTGCCCGATCCAGGTTGTCTTACCCAGCGGGCGGCAGCTCCCGAGGACC